TATATAAATGATAAAGAAGAAAAAAAATCTTAAACAGTTATATAAACTGTTCTGCAATCTTTTCTCACAACTTAAAGACAGTAGAACTGAGTGTAGCATCCCTCTGTTCACTCTCAGTGTATTAAGTGCAAATTAGGTGGCCATGAAAAAATAATCATGACTACCTAAAATAATAATTTATGATAATTTTTTTGATGGTATGCTGTAAACCTTCTATAGAAGTCTCCATGTGTATATACAACCGTACAGCACATACCTCATCAGCTAACTATGAGTGAGTTGAAGCAAACCAAGCAACTCAATCCAGGCATATAAATAGTTTCTATCTCCAGGGCTATTTTTAACAACTCTGAGCTCCGAGTACCATAATGGGCAGCTGTGTAGCTAAACATAGAAGAACATTAACATTTCTCTGTCCAGTACTAGCTCCATAAACTCTGGCATTTAGTTTACCTGCAGGCTTGTGCTCTGGTCGGAGAAAGGGGAGCTGAAAAACGTGGTTACAATGCTCATCACCGTTTCAGTCACGTAGCTTTCCAGAACATTGTCTGCATGCTTACGGTCACTTGTGTTGTTGCACACCTGAACAAAAGTTTGAATGTCTTGAATCTGCTGGAAAAATAAAATTTTTTTTATTTTCTAGCTAAAGAAGGTATGATGCTCCTTACTCTGCAAATGTCAACCAGAAAGTTATCAAAGAGTTTCCACATGTGGTTGGAGGTGTAGATCTCCTTCATTTCCACCTCAGTGTCCACATAGCAGTGGTTTAAAAAGTTGATGTATGCAATCTTGATCTGGAACAAAAACTAATAATTATTATGGAAATGTGCATCTTAAAACACTTAAAATGCAACCTGCTTCTCCTGTCACCTCAGGGATGCAGTCTTCATGGGTGACCACCCGCACTATATCATCCAGTGGTAAGAGGGAGTTGCACTTGATCTCAGTGTAAACATTCTTGCCCTCAGTGCAGACAGCAAGCAGCTCCACCAGGTGTATGTGGTACCTAAGTGGGCTGTTCTCATCCATCCTATCCCGCTCTGACCGCATCATCTGGACCAGAGTCTGGAAAGAGGCTCGATCATTGTAGAAGACCAGAACGTCTTCTCCAGCATTTACCAGCTGTAACGAGAAACAGACAGCATTAGGAGCAAAAGAGGAAACAGTAACATACAGTGCTGTGGCAACTTATTTCCACCTTTTGAACTTCTCAATATTTTCACATGTAAACCCAGTACACCCTGGATTTTATGTGACAGGTCAACAGAGAGTACTGCATATTGCTGAGTGTTAAAAATATATACATGGCTGTCAAATTTTGTTTTCAAAGAGGGGGTTGAATGTTTATTGACACCAGCAATTAAAGCTCTGTTAGCACATTTAGAGACTTCTTATTAAGTAAAATGAGATGAAAGTAAGTTGCCCCATTCTGATTTACAAAACGGCTCAAAACTCAGGCAGGATGGATAAAATCATTCTCAGGGCATTTTCACAGGGAGTGCAACCTTTGCTTTAACTGGACCATTCTAACAAAGTTACTAGATTGTATCTCTAGCTCTATGGTGTCTTGCTCAGAGATAAATCCTGCCACAGTCTCAGGTCTTGTGCAGCCTCCAACAGGATCCCTCTCTTGGCTGAGTGGACAAGTTTAATCGTCTGTGTAGTAGAAATGCATTGCATGCGACTGCCACCACTGTGTGTAACCACAGGGAAGGTTTGCTCAGGGTGATGCGCAGCGTTGGGTTCTGTCACCCATAACGATTTTTCAAACAGATAAAAAAAGCTCAATTTGTATCCTTTCAATGCTTACTAAAAAGAAGAAATTCTTATTTCCTTGTTAGAAATTATTAAATAACAGCTAGTTGAACCCTTTTTTCCAACTAGATGACTTGCAAATGCAATAAGATACGGTATATTCATAATATTGTGTGGTTAGTCTGTCACACAAAACCCAAAATAAAAGCATAATTTTGTAAACTGTTGACAAGCGGAAATGTTTTGAGTATTTTTAGTCAGAGATGGTTACAACCTCTGCCATTACGATGTCCTGACACTTTTTGATGAATTTGTTCTCAGCCTTGACAATGGTCTGTAAGAATTTGAGGTACTGGACGTTGCGGCCGTGGGTTTCAATGCAATGGACGAAGTGCTGGACCACGCGCTCATTGATCTCGCTGCACAGCTGGAAGTTGTTCATAAAAATGTGCTGCATGGTGACGGCTTCTAATATCTACAACAAGAGAAAACAAAGAGGAAGCAAGAGTCATAATCCGGGATTAACTGCAATAGTAGACAGGGTATGTGGGTGAGGGATGGGGAACGACGACTAACCCCTGGATTGAGGAAAAGATTGATGTGTTTATGGAGCAGAGCCTGGTTTTGCTGGTTTCCTGCACAGAAGTTCTGTAGAAACTCGTGGGCTAGTTTCATATTGTCCTGCATGCGTACATCCTCTCCCTAGAAGATAAAATAATCAAGTTCTAAATATTTAATCACATTTTATAATACAACAATAAAACATTTAATTTAAAAGCATTCTGCCTTTTCATAAGGTATCTGCAGCAGCTCAAGGACCACGGAATGAGCGCCCATGTTTCTCAGGAGCCTCTGCTGCTGTTTTCGGCTCTTTCGACCAGACAAACCTTCTTGGATACACAATCTGCTCAGACGCAGCAAGACCTATGAGAGAGGAATGATAAAGTAGGGTTAAAATGGTACATTTCTGCAAAAGATTTGACTTTCATTTTTATTAATTTATATTAATTTTCTTTACCTCTTTTATCACTCTGTAGTTTTTGCTGCTGGAACTTTCTGCCTTCCTTGGTTTGTGTGTGGAGGAGTCATCCTGAAACAGCATAAAGCAATATGACACGTGACCTCACCACCGCTGCTTTTACCCCCAGTCATCATGATGTAAATTAAAAAGCACCTTTTGAAGTTCCTGCTCAGCTGGCAGCCCCTCTCCTCCATCCAAGCCCTCATCGGGTCCCTGCCTCTTGTACACCCACAGCTCAGATTTCTCAACTATAGACCGCAACTTATCCAAGTCCTCCTTTATCTGCTTGTAATTGTCCACATCTTGGCTTGTCACCAGCAACTGCACCTGTTATTAAAGTTATGGAAAGATAGATATCATTGTAGTTTCTACTAAGGTAAAATCTACCATATAATTATAGCAGCTAGTAATTATGTTGCTAGCTCCAGGATTATTGATTTTCCTTAAAGTGAAATATTTAACAGATGATTTATGCGGCTTCTGGGACAGGTAAGAACAAGTTTATACTCTTACTTACACTCACTGATATTCTAATGTTAAAAAGATGCAATAATATGATAAGCTTACTTTTTAAATCTCAATCTCTTTTAGTTGAGTTTTGTGGGATTGACGAACACAAAATAGTTTATGATTATTATTAGTGTTTAGAAATATATTAAATAGGATCTAGGACAATGTGCTTTGAGTTTAATTTTAAAGTGTTGATTTCAGGCCCAACTCGACTTCAGAGCTCTTGCCCTGCTGGAAGGTGAACCTTCTCCCGGGTCTCTACGTTTTTGCAGCCTCCATCATGTTTTATTTAAGGATTTTACTGTATTTAGCTTTATTATTCTTCTTTACCTTCTTTTTAAGATCTCTGCCAACGGAGTATATATCAATCCCCACAGCATTATGCTGCCATCTCTAAGCTATAAATAAATGATAGCATACTGAGGGTGATGCATATTGTAAGTTATTTGCCACATAAAATGTTCTGCATATAAGCAAAAAAAAAAAAAAAAAACTCAGTCTCCATCTAATGTCACCAGAGCTCCTTCTTCCACTTTTTATAATATTTTTTGAGCACCTGTTACCTACAACACTAATCAGACTAATTTTCTCTGTTTGAAGCATGGCCTTAAATGTTTGCAGCGGTTGTATTATAACATCCTTTGAATGTCTGTTAAAAACTGGCAGAGCTTATAAAATGGTAAAAGGCATTACTGTACTGTACTGTACTTATATGGCACTTTTGCACCTCAGATGACTGGACCAAAATTCTTTACGCTATAATAATTCACCCATTCATGCACACACTCAACCACTGATGGTGGCAAGTTACATTGTAGCCACAGCTGCCCTGGGGCTCACTGACAGAAGCAAGGCTGCCTTGCACTGGCGGCACTCGGTCCTCCAGCCACCATCAGTAGGCAATGCGGGTGAACTGCCCAAAGACACAACAACACTAAAAGCAGGAGCCAGGGCTTGAACCAACAACCCTCCTGTTGCAGGGCAAACTCCTTCAGCAAATGCTACTGTCGCCCCAACAACGCCACTGTTGCCCTAAAATAGACCAACATATTTAGAAATGTTAACTATTTTGGCTTTCAGTACTTTAAGTGGGCAGGTATGCAATGGTACCAGAGCTCTCACTTATAAATTTTACCCCTTAGTACACCAGGACCACCCCCTCCCTGCAGTTTACAGCTTGAAACAGATTTGTTAATAATAAAATTGTATCAAAACAAACCCGATGCTTTGGTGTAAAACACTTGCCATACATTTATGTGGTTGTATGTGTTTCCGATGAGTAAAACCAAAGGAAAACCATCAGTTATCTGGCTCCAAAAGGAGACAAACTAGAGCACAGTTGAATGCCAACAGCAGCCCTCTGAACAGTCCTTCACTACACGAAAATAACGGAGGTCAGACTCCGCAAGCTTGCATTAGCGCATCCAAACATACTTTTTTTTAATGTTTTTAATTAGATCTCTAGATATACAGACCAGAATAAAGTATTGCTAATGTTTCGACTGCATACTTGCATGGCATTAAGGGGAGTATTGGCACTTATTTTCTTTTTTACTTAAAGCTCAGTTTATTATCTATAAATTTTATTCAATAAACTATTTTATTTTGGAGCGAATGAAATAAGTCATATAAATAAATTGAGCATTAACAGCAGATTAGTTTGTTTTTTATCAGCAGGGTTACCTGTTTGAAGGCCTGTAGGACCTCCTGCCTTTGGCTGAAATGCCTGAAGAGCAGGTGCAGGGCTCTGGATACCAGCGGAGGGTACTCATGCATGGTTAAGTGCAGCAAGACCCTCAGGAAGGTTCGACCACCATGATCATCCAAGTCGAGAGGTGTGTTATCCTCACTACAGATAGATGACAGATACTTTAATAAGAAAACATCTATTTCACTTTTTTCCTGACAGTCTCACTTTACCTTCCACCAAAGATGGCCTCTGCTTGCTCCTCTATGTGCTCAAAATCCAAAGCTCCTGCATTTTCAAGCGGAGACTATGCATCAAATTTCAGTGGACCCAACTTTTATATGTAATAAATTAAAAAAATAACCAAACCTGGCATATTGTTTGGCCCTTCTACTGCTCCACTTATAGATAACTCGTTCTGGGAATTACTCTCATCAAACTCCCTCTTGAAGATTGACAGAAGACAGGAGATCCTGTAGTCCAGACGGACATTCAGGATAAACTGCAGCAAAGAAAGCGCAATAAATTCCAGAAATGCAGCCCATGCAACTTCTAACTTTCATCTCCATATATTATATGTATTTTACCTGCAGGATCTCTATAATCTTGAGTTTAGTGTCCATGACCAGTATGTCCTGTTTCTCAGGTTCAATCTGTGTCTTCACTGTGCCTCCGTCCGAACGGCTGCTTGGATCTATAGGAAGGAACCCGCCTCCTCTCAGGACTACTTGGGACATCAGCTCTCCAACGCCATGAATAGACCTCATTACATTGCTGCCTGAAAAAATATATATAAACACCAAAACAGATCAACTACACAGGCGCCATATTCAGGTCCTTAATCTGCCACTCTAGGCTTTCATACTTCTGCTTCCATCTCCTTTGTCCAGCTTGGTGAATGGGAAAATGGTGCTAACATGGACACAATCCAGAATAGCCAGCAGGATCTTAGTTAGTCTGAGCAGGTCACTGAAGTTGTAGAAGCCGAAATAAATCAGATTCCTGGCCAGATTCACCACCTGAAATAAGAACAACAAAAAACTACAAGTTTAAAGTTTTTTAAATAAGATTTTATGAAACTAATATAACTTAGTGCATTATTGTGAAATAAACAATATACGATACATCAACTTAGATTTTTTGTCTGGAGTAAAAACAGCATCACACCAAGAAAATTAGGATATTAAGAAATATCTGAAGCTTTAAACATTATACACATTTTAATTTCCTTCTGGTCTAGTAAGTCCACTACATAAAATTGACCGTAGTTTAAACTGTGCTAATACTTTTGGACTGACCTCAGAGGTGAGCTTGTTCTTTTCCTTGTCTGCAAATGGAAAGTTCTGACACACCACGTCTCTGAGGTAGTTTTCAACAAACTCCATTGTCTCCGAGAATCGCTCCTTTATTTTATCCTTGGTCATCCCATCGTTGTCATAGCTTCAGATTAGAGCATAAACACAACAATAAAATGGAAACACACCCAGAAACACAGTCTGCACTGAACAAATTGTTTGCGCCCCATCTCGTACTCGTTAATGGAGATTTCCGATGGGATCTCAGACCAAAGCCGAGCGTATTTGACTGGCGTGACTTGTTCCTGGGGGTCCCGATCCACATGCATGTGTAGCATCAGCCGACAGAATGAAGCGCGTAGGTCAAAAGGCAGGTCTTCGTCCGACATGCATCTCAAGATCAGGTCTACATCCAGCTGGATGGAGATCTTGTTGATTGCCAGATACTGACGATCCAAACACATCCTGGCAAACAGGTTCAGCTGGTACCTGTCAGAATAAAAGCAGACAAATCAACAATCCAAACTATAAGTGCTGCTCAGGCCAGGTTAAATCAGGCCCAATTACCTGTAGTAATTGATCACTTCTTTGTCCTCCTTCTGGCCCTCTTTGGCATCCTGAGCAAGCTCCCTGATGCTTTTACTGCGGAGTTCTTTATCACTGTTATTCCAGAACAACCACACTTCCTCCTCATCCTCCTCTGCTTCCAGAGAGTTCTCCCCAAGCTGCTCTCCCTCAATCTCAAACCTTGAGAGCACCAATCTACAAAGGTAATCCAGAGAAGAAAAGATTTTTATCATTTTATTTTATTAATCTTTAATTTCATTATATAACAAAGAAGGTTAAGACACAATTCTCGCCTAAATATCAGGTAACGATATCAAATATAATCAGAGTAAACAAATAATCAGTTTTTTAACACTGATTTAATTTCTTTAAAAAGAAAAAGTCGCTTTGAAAACAACTTGAACCTGCTGCTGTGCTTTAGATATTTGCCCTACTGGGTCACTTAACAGCTCTGAGCTTCAGATCAGTACCTGACGCCTGGACATTCAGCAGATTTCCTAGTCCACTTATACTGAGTTCCTCTTGGAGATTTTTAATCATTTTTAGTCAAATGTTATTAATGGTTAATACTGGAATCCCAGTGAGGGTGCCATATCTTCCCCTGCTTTTTGTTGTTTTTTATTCCATTCATGCACTGCAAAAACTATCTAGAAATAAGTAATAAGTCCTTAAATAAAGGGTGTTCAGCCTTAATTTGAGCAGGTAAATAAGATGATTTGCCCATGGAATGGGTTTTTTTTATTCTTAAAATAAGATAATTAGATAATATGCAATTGAAATAAGACAATGCAATTATTTTGTTCTCATTTTAAATGCAATTTGTCTTTCTCAATTCTCCCTAGGAGTCTCAGTTACCTCTTCAATTCAAGAAAAAATGCACTTATTTTAAGTAAAAAATTACTTATTGAGACTTATATAATTTTGCAGTATTCTGACCACAGAGTGTTCAGTGTGTTTAATGTGGCTCTGGGCTCTTCAGAGACCCCTGCGTGAGTTGCTTATCAGCTCCTGGGGTTTATAATGGTTGAATTGATGAAGATTGAGGACTTCTTGAAATCTGGACACAACCTGGTGTTCCAGCATCACAATGGTGCCAAAGACAATTAAAAACATTTAAGCTCAGGAAATGCCCAGCTGTTTTAACCTTCTGGAATATTTGTGGACTGAGCTGACTGACTTTTTTTTTTTTCTTCTAAAGGTACAGCAGAGGATGTTCTTTTTCTGGTTGGATCATCAAAATAAATGCTCCTCCTAATTATCAATCATTCATAAGGCGTACGTGTTGTCCCCATTTTCACTTACCGGTGTTGAGTCTGACATACTGGAAACATTACAAATCTTCTTTTGGAAAGTAAGCTTGTATGAGCAATTCAAACAGCAACTTTTAAACGTGTGTGCACAAGGAGAAATTGGCTTGTGCATGCTCTCGGACGCGTTTAATAAGCGTTCCCTTTCGGGAGCAGGTACCTGGCTGTGCATTGGCTTTTTTTTTACTGGAGAGGGCGGGTCTTTTCAAAAATTTGCGAAAATCCTCCACTACACCTTTAAGACAAAGAACTCCCTTTTGGATAGACTACCTAAACAGTAAATTGTTGTAGTGCGTTTTTTGGAGACCTTGACTCAAAAGAATAAATGGGTTAAAAATATTTTACTTTGTTTCTATGAGGATGTCTGCATTTGCCGGGTCCAACACTGCAGTGCAGATGAGCTCTTGTGTCACAGGGATAGACTTATTCATCGACACACACAGATCTGACAAGTAGTCCAAGAACCTGGTCACAAACACAGGCAACACAAAAATCAATCACACACCACACTGACCTTCTGGAGAACCTTCATAATCTAGGAGTTGTTCAACCAGTAAAAAGATTGATCAGGTTCCCTGATGGACCACGATCAAGCAAACAAACTGTGGCCCACCTGGGCTCCCGGTTCTTGCGAACCAGGCTAACAAATGTGTCGATCTCTGCAGCAGTAATGTGCTTCTCCAGCAGTTTTCTGTTGTTATGGAGCAAAGCCGTGATGGTGTCCTCGGCCAGGACATCGTAGCCAATCTGTTTCTGCATGAAGCGAAACTGTTTGGCGATGTACTCCTGCAAAAGACAAAATAAATTAAAAAAACATAGGTTAGGTGCAGATACAGGAAAAGTAAGCACAAATATTTTCATAGCATGTAATATTTATGTAATCACGCGCCCTCTGAAACGTATTAAGAAAGATAGGCCTACAGTCCAGTTGAAGCTTTTCATATTGTTGTTTTTTAAATAAAGAAAGTTATTATGACTTGTGCTTATACCAAGCCCCTTTTACTCTGGTACACCTAAATAATATCCAGTAGGACCAACTACCTACCTGCTAATTAAGTCTATTCTGTGTTTTATTTTCAGTAAAGATCCACAGGCTCTCTGAAGGACTCAGAGATCATTAGCAGACAGACATCTTCATAAAGACCAAGACCTTCACCAAGTAGGTGAGAGAAAAAACCTTGGAGAACACTTCCCCTTGAACACACCGCCTCACACTGAAACAAGGAGGAGGCAGCATACTGTAAGAATGTTGTCTAATCACCTAATTTTATCAAACACCATGATTCCTAAAATATTTTGTTAAAATATTAATAGCTTTGAATGGACTTCCTTCTACTTCAAACTTTTAATTCATGTGGTTTATTGCCTACATTTAAATAATGATCTCTTTAAATCTTCTATTTCTACTTGAAAGACTGTCCAAAGAAACAGAGGATGCTCACTCTAGTCACATATTACTAAACAAAGATGACTCTATCATCAATAAAAAAAAGCTATTAATAAAAATCAGCTGATCATAGAAGTACGCAATTTGAGATACGTGAGCAATTTTCACAACATGAGCTTTATCTATAATTATTCTGGGTCGATATATTTGGAGAAAGTAGTTTAGTGTCTCAAAGCGCGGACTACACAGGATGTTCATCTACATTACACAGTGTAATGTATTGCATTGTGGTTGTTACAGAATGATGAGGTTTTTCCCCCAGACAGAAGTCTAACCCTTTAAAACCCTGTCAGAAGGTTGGTGGTGATGATTAGAAATAAAGTTAATGATTAAAAATTTCTACCTGATTCTTGCGGTAATCCTGCTGAGAGTGACGCAGGACCCTGTAACACAGGCGGCAGATGTGTCTGAAGGGGGCATGACGCTGGTCTGCCAACTCGTCCAAACGCAGCATTGGCCCATCCCCGCTGTCTGTGAACGGAGCCTGTAGCAGTTTGAAGATCTACAAGCAGGGAGGATAAATTGATCACTTTAATTTTGCAGTTTGGAGTCAATGTTGCACACCTCTTTGACACAGAGTTCCACAAATCAGAGGACGAAGGGGTGGGGGGGTGGGGGGTTAGTCAACTTAAAATAGTTTCCAATGTTGCTTTATTGGATTACCTGTTTGAGAATATTCTGCTCTCTCATGAGTTTCTGTCGCTCCCTGTTGGGTTTGTTCACCATTATTTCCAGAACATCCTGTCCATTGTTGGGAATGTCCACAACAAAGAACACCAAATCCTCCAGAAGCTTTGTTACCGCTCTGAATTTTTCATTATAAAAGACACATAAACACAACTTAACATGAACATCCTCTTCAAAGAGACGACTGCTTTACTTGGCTTTTTCTACCTCCTCTCATTCTGGGTGATAGTGCCTTTTTCCAGCTTTCCGGCAATAGAGGCCAGAACTTTACTGGCATCGTTAGCAAAATCCAGGTCCCTAACTTCGGCCGGGGAGACGGGCACGATGGCGAACGCCTCTTTGTCCTCCTTATGTGCAGATGTGCCGATCTTAAATCAGAAATAAAATACAACTTGTTCAATGAGTAGAAATTCATTAAATAATCAATCTTTCTTGTTATTAGGAAACCATAATTTTGTAGCGTTGTTAGAATGCAGACATTTTAATTAAGGCACAAATTAAAACCGTTTAAAAACTTATAAATGTTTATGACACAATCAAAAATGACAAAACAGTAAATAAAAAAAAACTAGAAAAGTGATTAGTCACTTACCCGCAGCATGACAGGTTTTTCTTCTTCCTTGTCTATCGGTTGGTTGGTGCTGTGAACCCACGTATTGGTGCAGAGATGTCGAAGCCGCACATATGAGTTTCTGCAAAACAGGCCAGAGTTTCTGTTTTATGTAAAAGTCCCAGATAGCCGTTAATGCTTGTGGCACAGTAGTAGAGCAGATGTCCCATAAACGAAGGCTGTGGTTGAGGACCAACAGCTCAGGTTCAGACCTCTGGAGCATTAGAGCTCCTTCCACCTTCTGTATGTGTCCTATCTAATGACTAAATAATGGCCACTGAAGCCAAAGATCTCATCTCCAGAAAATTAAATCTAAGCAATATTAAAAAAGGCAAAACTAAGTGCAAACATCTTATTTATTGTTTGTACCACATGCCAGTATCTGTTTCCTTTTACAGTGTCTGCACAGTTCTAGTGTTTATGTTTCCAGTATGCTTCAGTTTCAGAGAGTCACAAGAAGCAAACATCTTATAAATTTATAAGTAGAAGAGGAAGGGCTCAGAAGAAAGTAATAAAACCAGAGTATCTGGGAGACTTTTTTCATGTGATGGTTCAGCAGTGGGCAGAATGGTCCGAGTGTGCACAGCTATACAAAAAGTGAACTTTATTTTTACCTTGGTATACCAGAAAATAATCCACTCTACCTGTAAGTTTTGCTTCCACTTTTCAATATGTTCATGTCATTACTAAATATTTGTGGTGCAGTTGTTTTTTTTGTGTTCGAACACATCAGCTTTTAATGCCACTAACGATACAAAGAAAGTTAGATACCCATTTTTTTCCTGCAGCCAGCAGACAAAACTAATCATCATCTATCCAACCAAACAGAGGCTGTATAATCATTACCCATGTTTGACTGTAAGTGAATCTCTCTTGAAAGTTCTATCACATAGACACTATCTAGTCTAGGATAAAAGAATTAATCAGATTAATCATGATTTAATTGTTGTGATAATACTTGTCAACTGATTTAGTAATTGAATAATAATTTTCTTAATATACTGACACTATAACATCCCGTTTGTTGAAAAAGCAACCCATTCAGAGCAATAATTACACCAAAACATCTTAAAAAAATTATTTTGCATTTAAGACAAAACACCTTCGATGGTGAGCTCCATCCAGAACTTCTGAAATAGCGTTCTGAGAATTTCATTTCAGATAAATATCTTTAATAATAAATCTTTCTAAAGTAATCTATTAATCAAAACATGAATCACTAATTCAATAAATAACTAAAATATCAGATAACCAGATCTCTAATATAATTAGGGCTGCCATTAAGAATTATTTTGCAAATCGATTGTTTTTTTGATTAATAAATTAATAATCGGAGGGCCAAAGGTTCCTTAAAGAAGATTCTTTATGAAATTAAGCGAGGTAAAACTAAAACTTTTCCACTTAAGGTGTTCTGGATAGAGCAGATTGACAGATGAAAAAGTGTTTTATCTTAAATGCTAAATATTTACTGCTACTGTGTGTAGCTTTGCCATCTAAAGGCATGATTTCGAATCTTTATACTCCAATTAACAATTAATTCATTCTTAAAATAGTTGACAATTCAATAATTGATTAATCAAAATTAATCCAATTAATTGTTTCAGCCCTGAATCTAGAGAGCACAAACATTAACTGTTCCCACCGTAATGTGTCCTTCTTACCTGGGCACAAGAGAGTCTCCCCCCCTTAAGGTGGTCGGGTCCAATTCGAATATGGAGGAGATGTCATTTCCATCAGGAACAGATATAAGTGTGTACATGACCTTATCTTGGACATTTTTCAAACGGGATCTCAGGGCATGCTGCTCTGAGTCAAGCTACAGAAACAAAATTACTATTAGAAGATGAATTTAAAACAAAACAAATTCATGAGCACATTTTGTCTAACTGGTAGAAAGAATACCAACAGAGATATAGGAGCTTAGCATGGATGGATGGATGGAGTTTTTAAAATAACAGAAAATCCAATAGAATGTCAAATCTTTACATTTTGCCTAGAAACTCTATTCACATTTTTTATAACAGAAAAAAAGTCTGCAAAAGACTACCTTGCTGATCTCACTGACTGGGTCAGCAAAAGGTTGGAAATTTCAGGATAACAGAATAGCAAAGCAAACTCTTTATTCATTCAGGAAAGAACTTGAGATGGAAAGTAACTGCCATCTGCTGGGCAATAATAGCATAACACCTTCAAATTCCTCAAACTGTAAATCCTTTTACAGTAAACCTAATCGGTTATTAAGTTTAAAACATATTTCTCATATCTCAGCCAAAAAAATCACAGCTATAAAACAGGTTTTAGATGTTTAAGTACGCACAAAGTGTTAAAGTCAATCTAAAGAGATTCCTGTTTGTAAATATGGGCATTCATATTAAACTCTGCACCACATTGAAAAAAATTGCCTATCTGCATGACATTCTCACCGGAGAGCCAAAATCGATGCCTTCATCTTCATACTCTGGGTTAACCTGCACACATTCAAGAGTTGTTAGCTTTCAGAAGTTCACAAGCCAACAGGACAGAAAGGTGGACGGACAGACTGACCTCTGCAGCCAAGTAGTGTCCAGTAGCCAGGTGTTTGAACCTGAAGAGACTGTTCCAGTAGCCCGCCCCGCCTCGACACGGATCATGCTGTACCACCTGAAACAAAAAAAACAAACAAACCAAAAAAAAAAGTAGAACCCACCTTCACCTTAGAGCACACCCAGCAGAAACAGGTTTCAGTCGACAGTAGCTCACCTCGATCTCCCAGAGGGCTTTGCTGCTGGTGGCCGACGTGGCAGACTGACGTCCAGTAGTGCGAAGGAATACATATTGCCTTTTTCTGTGATCATCGCATGTGAGAAACTTCTCCTGCTCTGCATGGAAAAGCCGTACAACGTCACCCTGCAGGGAGAGATTACAGCAAGTTTTGGCTTTATATGGTCGATGATAAGAAATTATGCTTAAAATCTTTGATGGTCACCATTTGATAAATATAATAAAATAAAACTCTCACTAAATTAGTTTTGGTATTAATGTATCTAGTATTAAAAATCAGTTTGGAATTAAATGGGGTTTTTGCTGCCAGCAATTTGTCTTATAAAGGTTAACAGGCACGCTGAAATTATAGCAAAGAAACTCTAACATAGAATTTTTAAAGTTATTTTGTCTTATTTAAATTCAAGTACTGCTGATTGAAGATAGTAAAATGGAAACAAACAAAACCTCCAACTGGGATCACACAAACAACCGTATGCAATGGCAAGGTTTGTAAACAAAAAAATACATTAGAAAAACTCCAAAATTATTTAAAAAAGGTGTTTAAAGGTCAGAGACTATGGAAGCCTTTTTCCACCACTCTGTAGAAAAAAAATATCTCAAAATAATGAGATAGTAGTATCTTACTATAATGAGATAATTATTTTTTGAAAAGAGTGGCAGAAACAAACTACCCTAAAACACAATGTGACTATTATGTTAAGAAAATGATCTAGCCAGTCTGTTTAATATAAATAATGAAATATATTTAGATTAATACTTCATCTATAGAGTATTCTTTATCACAAAAGGCCATTTGTAATAAATAATCAGAGAAAGATTTATCTTATAGTTGCTGAGAAACGCACTCCTTTCAAGACGCACTCCTGGTTGTCACTCCATTTCATAAACAGGACAATCTTCCAGCTGGTGTTACAGTTGACGGAGTTTACCTGAAAAACAGACAGAGCTGGATGTGACTGAAGCTGTAATTAAGCTGCAAAGTTTGCCAAAATGCACAGTCATATGCTAAACTCTTTCTGAAGTGAGAAAAAAAAACATCTCTTATGGTTTGCTTTTTTTTTTTTTTTTTCACACCTTATTGTTTCAGATGACCAACGTTTTAATACCACACAATGCTTAAGAGAACAAATACAACTGCATGCAGTTTTCAAACGATAATTTAATCCATTAGAGCTAAAACATATCTCTAAACCAACCTGGCCCCCATAAAGGCTCCAACCACCACAAAACACACTGAAACATTCTGATGACACTAGATTACTACATACTATACCAGGACACATTGAGGGGAGTGGCGGCCTTGTGGTTAGGGCATTGCGCTAGGAATTCAGAGGCTCTGAGCTCAAGCCCCGCTCCCACGGACTGCACGCCTGGCTCCCTTAGCAAAGACCCCTAACCCCACACTGCTCCCCGTGCCCCGTTAAATGCAAGGGTGAATTTCACCAGTGTGAGATTAATAAAGTACAATTATTATTATATGAATATGAGCACCTTTAATTTTGTTAGAATATGGATTTTATTATACAATATAACTCTGTCACATCATGTAAATGAAGGGAAAACAATGTTCAATATCTGAAAATCTGAACAAAAAATGACTATTTCACAGTGGCAGGTTAAGCCATCCTGTAAAAGTGAGCCTTGTGGAATACAGTGACTAAACAAACAGAAATTAGGGTGTTGGGGATAAACTAAAGCAAACCTCATTGCATCCTGGGTTATCCACAAGCTGATGTGTGCTAGCATGTAGTGGCTGACCAGCATTTACTGGGTTGAGGACCACTTTGTCACCAATCACCACCTGCAGTCACACAAAACACACATGCAGCAAATGTAAGAACAAGATGTACAGAAGAAGACCTTTTTTTTTTTTTAAAGAGTAACAAAGACAAACAGCTGCAAAGAAGGTTCAAGTGTAGTTTTATCAAAAAAATCTTTTAGTCATAATAACTATACTTACACATGATGTAGGTGTCAGTAAAACATAAATATTTGTTTAGAAGCAAAGGCCTTTGCTTAAAAAAATGAATCATAATGATTTTACAGTAAAAAAATATTCAAAATATAAGGTTTCTATAGCTGAACAGAATTTATGTAAAAAAAAAAAAAGATTTACAGCTGAAAAACGTAATAATTGAGCACTTATTAAAAAAGAAAATATTGATACATACAGAACTTTTACAGCTATAGAAAAAAAAATGTGTGTCATAATTACTTTGAATTTTGCAATTTCAAAAAATAGTTAAAAAATGATAAAAAGTGTGAAGCATGATCTCCAGTGGTTTTCATTTGGTCCTTTATCAAGTGTTTGGAACTTTGCATTATAACAGAAGAAGCGAACTTGTTTTTGTTTCATTAAACAAATCAAACAGATGCATAAAACTGGTCATAAAAAGGGCCAAAAATGAACAAAACATGGGTGCAAATATCTACAATCTTCACTGCTGAATAATCAAATATCATTAGCTAATAAATTCCCTGCAAATCCATCTAGAAATAAGTAAATATATCTTATATAAAATGTTTTAACCCTCAATTAAAGTAAGTAACTGAGATGATTTGCCAATTGAATTAGTATTTTTAATCTTAAAATGAGATGATTAGATGATATGCACAAATAACAATGCAGTTGCTTTTTTCTTATTTTAAATGTAGATTGTCTTGTTCCATTGGCAAGGTGTCTGACCTGATTAAAAAAATTCATTTTTTTAAACAAAAAAATTACTTATTTAGATTTAAAGTTTTTGCAGTGTTGATAATTAATTTATTTGCCCTGCAAAAATTGTTAAAAAATATTTCTTTAAGATATTCCTATTGTTGGGGTTATTGGTGTTCTCTTTTCTCCAACAAATCCAAAGCTAAAAAAAAAAGTCAAAAAGGGAATTAGTGTGTTCGAGATACTAAACCTTTATAATTCTAAGTTTACGAGATAAAATGAAAAGGAGCTGAACCATTTTAAAATTAATAGTGCACATTTAACTCTTGCTTCAACATATTGTAGTAAGACTTATTTCCTTTCGATAAATTATTAAGAAGACAAAATATGCACACAGTTTACTCCAAAAGAGTTACAGTACACAGCTGTTGGTTGCAGGCTGATAGATTTAAATATAATTTAGGATACAGTCTTGCATCTGTTGAAATTAGCAACCTTTAGCAAAACCAGACTGAGATATAGAACATTACAGAGAACTGCTCTGTATTTGTCTCTGAAGGAACATATCTATTCTAACTGCAGATATAAAATATCGAAACTGAAGAATTAAAGAAATTCAATGTTACATTATATTTTTTGAGGAACGAGGCTGATGTAATCTGCAGCCAACACAAACTAAAAATAGGAAGAATTTACTCTGATGAATTGCTGAAATTAAGTTCCCCAAAATGTTTTACCAAAGATGATCTGGAGAAAGAAAAACTGAGTAGAATTAAAAAGAAAAAAAAAATCTTTGCATATTCTAGAAATATGGTCTGAAGGAGGGGAAGTACGGATGGAACTTTATACAGATTAATCATGCACTGCAAGAAATTGAAATATAAATAAGTCATTTTTGTTCAAATAAGGGAATTCTTTATTGAATTGAGGAGGTAAGTGAGACACTTCGCCAATGGAAAAAAACAATATAAATTTAGAAATAAGAAAAAACAATTGCATGGTCTCATTTTAAGTGCATAATATCTAATTATCCTTTTTTAAGAGCAAAAAAACTTTTTCCATTAGCAAATTATCTTAATTACCTACTAACATTAAGGCTAAATACACTTAATTTAAAAGTTTTTGAAAGTTTAACTTATTCCTATATGTTTTTTGCAGTTTGGGTGAACATCTATTGGAGGCAAAAAAAAACAACTTTAGACTGGGGTGGAAACCTCAACAAGCATGAGTCAAATAATAAGGTAATTCATGGGAACAAAGGTTTAAGCCATTTGATCTTGGTGTGTTGGGCAGGACGTGCCTTTAAAGGCTGCAGGACATAAATCATCTTAGTGAGGATTTAAGTTTGATTCAGACTGGTTTAGATGAAAACCACTTCTTACATTAGACTGGCCCAGTCAAAATGCAAATTAAAATCTGGAGTATGTGAGAATCTTTTTCAGGTCAACGATACTCTATTCAGTTTTACTTCGCTTTAACTGTTTTTGCAAAAGAGGAAAAGGTAAAAATCACATCATTAAATGTGCAAATCTGATAGAGAAACAAACTGCAGCTCCAATTTCAGTGGAAGGTAATTCTACACTACAAAGATTGGGTATATCATTTTACTTTTAAGGGATAATATGTTTCTAATCTCTTCAACAGATAGGACTTGTTTGTTCTATTGCATAATATTTATTCACATGGAGTCCAATGCTGTCACTCTCAGCTCTTCCTATGAACTGAAACACTCACACTGTCCCCAATAGAGCGTAGTTTGTAGAAGGGCTGAATATAGAACCAGGAGCCTTCATTTCCTGCAGTGTCCAACATCACCCTCATGGCGTTTTTCTCCAACAGAGCTGGCAGCCGTTTGTTTACCGTCAGGTATTTGTTGCTCTTCAGGTGAAGCAGCTGTGAGAACAGAAAGCAGTATTTTTGATGGTGCACTTAGAAGAGCAGCTTGCATTTACAGCATTTACAGCTAATCCCATCCTGACCAATCACAACTTTATTTATTGATGTCTAAAACATTATTAGCTATTAACCGAATAACATGACTCTGTAGTAACAGTATGCAACATAATGATGCTTATATAATAATTAAACTGTAAGTTATTAAAGTAAAGGTAGTTAATGGCTATTTAGGAATGAATGAAAATAGATTCAAAATTGGGAAATGCATTTTTTCTTAACACAGACCTAATTATGAGTATTTCAGATTAAGGCTTATATGAATACATTTCAAATGCTATCGACACCAACCCTGCAGTTTAAAATACATTTTACACAAAAAAAAAAGACAATTATTGCTCAGAAACAAACCTGAATGACATTTCCATACTGTATCACTGTTCCCAGGAGCTTTTTGTTTTCAGAATCGTTTTGTTTCTTCTCCAGGTCAGCAGCATGCTGAGGTTCAAAAGAAAGATGAGGACAACATTTATTGCACCACCAAGATAATTGCTCATCGGCTCAAGTCATATACTTATAAGCTCTAAGAACCAATTGTGTTTGTTTGTTTAAAAGAAAAAGCCCTGGAAGAAGTGTCCTTAACAAAGCTTGTGTCTTCATTGGACACTAAGCTACTGAATCTGAATCTCGTTGGTCAAACAGATTGCTTTAAATGGTATTGGATTTGAGCAGAAAGAGCGAAAGGAGAGCCTCCTGGGCAGATAGATATGATAGTAGGAGTGAATGGTTCCCAAATATATCTATAAAAGGACTAGCAAGAAGTCTACCCCCAAATATTCAGAAGAAGGGATGATTTTAAGTCTCACAACTGAGAGCACAGAAAAATCTTTTCAAACATTCAGCTAATAAGCAAATAAGGTCTAACAGTGAAATTTAAATTCATAGCCTCTCAAAATCTGTCACTTTTACTACAAGAAATGAGGGCATGTCTGTATGTTGAAGAAGCTGTGAGATGATTATGCTGTTTTCTCTGCTTACATGAAGCTTGTTGAGCAGCACTGTGTCCGTGTTCCCGCCAGGCTTTGCTGCTTTCCAGAACTGCTTCTGGGCCGAGTAGCGGTTCATGGGGCAAAGCTTAAACAGACAGTCTGCACAGAAACAAGAGCCACAAAATCAATTAGCTCTGCATAGTGAATTTCACATAAAAAAACCATGCAACATCAGAACAAAGGGAAATATATGGAAATGCATGCAGCATCCTCAGCAACCCTTCAAAATAATGCATTCATTTTTGTTGTAGCATGATCTCACACTGAAAGAACAACAGTCTTATTTTAGATTCATTCAAATCTAACCATAGGTCCTTCTCAGTCTGTGTGGTGAAAAGGATAGAATGAGGTTCTCATTCAGCCTTGTTCATTTTAGTTTAATTTGTTTTATAATTATTTAATGATCCGTTTGTTTCTGATGTAACATCTGACATAGCTGTTTACTGAAACAAAAAAGGGTTTGTTAGACAACATCAATGGAAAAAAAAAATCAAGAAACACAGTGAACAGGTCAGAAATAAAGCTGTGGAGAACTTTAAAGCAAGGGTTAGATAAAAAAAAGGGTTAAGTAAAAAAAAAACCAACAACAATCATTTAAGTTTTGAACATCTCATCTCATTGACATATACGAAGATTGTACCTAAATGATTGAACTTCATCTTTCAGCAGGAAAACATTAAAAATACATGCAGAGCTATGATGAAATTCCTTAGATCAGAGCAATCTTAATGTCTTAGAAAGGACTGGTCAAAGTAGCAATCTGACCCAAGTCTAAAGAGCTCTGGTCCACAGACAGTCCTTACAACCTAAGCATTATTAAGCCTGTGGAAATGCAAACCTGGTAGAATTGAAACCTTAAAAGACCATCAGATGTTTTCATAATAAAATTTCATTCTACAAAGGACAGCTTCTGGGAAAGTTAATGTAAATGCATATTATATTTTTTTTAATCTAAATATGCACAAACATTAAAAGATACTCGATTATTTTTTTATTATTTTGCGAATCGATTAATCTGCTGATTATTTGTTCGATTCATCGATTAATAATTGGATAGCCAAAGGTTCCTTTTTTATTAAATTAAAACTGTTCTGGATAGAGCATATTGACAGACATTTTTAAAAAAAAAAATGCAAAATGTTTATACATTGTTTTATAATCTTGATATAATTACTGCTCTAAGGCTGTTGCTCTGTCACCTAAAGGCATGTTTTAAAGTCTCTATACTCCAGTTAACGATTAATAGATTACTAAATTATTATACGATTATTTCAATAATTAATTAATCATGACTAATCCAATCAATTGTTTGGGCCCTAAAAGACTTTTTTTTCTTCCCTTTGCTTTATATAGAATATAATAGAAAATCCCTTTACTGTCCCACAATGTGGAAACTGGTGTTTACAGCATTTTTTTTTTGTGTGTTATGTTTGTGTTTACCATTTTGTTTCAGTGCATCATATAAAAGCCCAAGTAAATTTATTGAATTTAGTTCTGTTGTAATCTAACAAAGTTCAAAGTTTAAGAAGAGCAACATCTCCCCTCTTTAAATGGCATAATTTCTTCTCTTTGCATGCAGAAGAATCATTGGAGAATTCATGTTAGATACTAGAAAATGATCCAGTTGGTTATTGGTAGAATGGTCTTTGCCACTGATTGACCTTATGGCACAAAACGTTTATCATTAGAAATGCTTTAGATGGATTACGGCATATCATCAAAATAAAAAACTATAGCTTTACAGAAAAAGTTACTCAGATTTATAGTTTAATTGTTACATTCTTTGGTGTGCAAATCTAACACTGAAGTTAAAAGATTTGTTTATTTTAAACCTTTTTTTTTTTTTTTTTAAGAAATCCTTTGGGACATCTATGAATGGGAAGGAAGTTTCAATATATGGAAACTTCCCAAAACAACACAACAGAAAACGTCAACAATATTAAACCCAGAGCCAAGCAAGCAGTAAAAATAGAAACCATCTTCCTCTCTATGTCCAGTGACCTGGCTGTGCATGTGACCGCACAAACAAGTATTAATAATTCTCCTAAACAGAGATCAAAGGCCTCTCACTGCTCTCAGGAGGAGCGGCGGGACAGAGACAGCCTGGATCTGTGTGACTGTTCAACCTACACGATCCTCCAAAATGCTGTAGCAGACGGGTTAGAGGGATCTAACGTCTAACCACAGGCAAGGCGAGACCATGCTGGCGTTATCAATAGTGCCTAATTGTGGTGTTCATTTTCATAAGCTGTGCAGGAAGCTGCCAGGAGGGAAACCAGGCGCTTTATTTGCATGTGGACACTGTTTTTAGAGAAGTTCCTCTTGTGTCCCTGGTCAGTTCCTCTTCTGAAACTCGCCAGGAGAAAAGAAGACTTTAACAGTGGTTGAAAGTTAAGTTTAGTTTGGCAGGAACAGATGAACTACTTTCCCTTGCAGAGCTGAATTTGTCTCCTCCCTCTGAGTTCTGGCTTTCCTCTGATTTTTATCTCCTATCAGATCACTGCTCTTTCTTTACGGAGTCAGTGAAAAGGGGAGGAAAAGAACAATCTGTCCACCCCCCCTTCTGTGTCTCTGAACTTTATTTGGAGTTGCAGTAACATGACCAAATAAGGTCAGCGAAGAGAAAGAGAGTTAGATGGCTTTAAGAGAGGAGGAGAGGGTGGGGGGACCCCCCCTCCCCTCAATATTCTGTCATCCCTCCTTCTCTTCTCTGAATTCCTCCAACTATTTCACACACACCATTTGTTCCCTCACAAATAAAAAGGTCTCAACATGCTAAATCCTCTGCTGGTACCCGAAACCAGTGGCCTTTCTCATCAACATCTGTTTACTTCCATTTGATGCATAATTCAGTAAGGAACACAATTTAAAGGAAGTGAAAGACCAATGAGGAAGACAAGGAGAGAAGAAAAGAATGTAAAACGGAGCATAGAGGGTTTACATGACTGCGGAGAAATGGAGGAACTCCGATGAGGGTGTCCGTTTGTATGCTCAATTCTTCTCTTACAGTTAAAACCACATATTTACATACATTGCATGAAAAGACACATATCCTTTTTTTTTCTCTCCACGGTCTGATATTTAATCAAACTTACCTTATCTCATTTTAACTTATTTAGAAAAGCAAACTTACTTATATAAACTCCAGAGTATTTGGATTTTTTATTTATTTAAAAAACTCAGGTTTACTGCAAAAACAATCTAGAAATAAGTAAAAATTTCGTAAATGAAGTGTATTTACCCTTAATTTGAGTAGATAAATAAGATGATTGCCAGTGGACTGTGTATTTTTACTAATAAGATAATTAGATAATATGCACCTGAAATAAGACAATGCAATACTTTTTTCTTATTTTAAATGTAAATTGTCTTGTTCCATTGGCAAAGAGACTCACCTCCTCAATGAAAAAAAATATATTTGAAGAAAAAATTACTGATTTAGATTAAAATTTTCTACAGTGTAGATACATTGCAATAAATTTTAAACAGTTTAGGACAACATAGATAATCGTGTCATGGCTTTATTAACTTCTAATAGATCAATTGACAACATGGAAGCTAACCTGTGGGTACATTTTCAAGCAAAACCTCCAACATAGTACTTCTTAGTGTGACAACATGGAAAAAAATCCAAAGAAATCAGCCAATTTATTAGGGAGAGAGTTGTGAATCAGTCAGTCAGCTTAAGGGTACCACATTCACCATTTCAAAAACTTATACAAAGCATAAATAGTGTAGGACTATCCAAGTATTATGCCATCAGGGAAGGAGAGTGATCCTCTGTGCCAGAAATTAATGCTTCTTGTTGTGAAATGTGCTAATCATCTCCAGAACAAAAGCAAATGATCTTGCAATGATGCTAAAACAAGCCGGTAGAGAGTGTTGTTAAGCTAAAACGCCATTCAGAAGGGAAGAAGCAAAGCAGCAGGCCAAAGCAACATAAAAAGACAAATTACAGTTATAAAAAAAAACACCTAAGGCCTAAAAGATACAGCAAGTATCCGAACACTGGAAAGCCCATCACAAAAAAGATTATATCACGAGAGGGGAATATGTTGAAAAAATAACTGAAGTATCATCTCAAGACAGCAGCCAGGAAGTTTAAGATTCTTTGATAAGAAACATGATTCTAATGGTGACGGTGCGGCTGGAGGTAGAACGACGTAACAGTCCTTCTAGGGCTAATTTTGTTCTTCAAAAACCACCTAATAACCTCTGGCATTCCCCACCTCATATTCTAAATTTTCAACTTCAATTTAAAAAAGGATCATCTCTGCTGCTTCCTTAGTCACAGCCACAGCTCGTCCCTGTTTAGAATATCTTAGCCTTTGTAAACAAAGACTAAGATTTTTTAAAATACCTCCTGCTAATTTGGCTTTGACTACTTCAAAGGCGCAGCAGCAAACTTACGTTGCTGAACTTGCCAAAAAAGCACCGTTCTGCTCACTAGACTCCCGACCTTCGCCTTGCTCCGCCTCTGAGCCACCATCTACATAGGAATAACATGGAAATCCTTACTGTAGCTCCAGCTGGGTAATTCAGGTTTATTGCAAACAGACCTTAAGAATGCTAACAAATTAGAGGAATATAAAGTTACCGTTTCTATGAAATAGATGTGTGAGAGTATGCACAGCTGGCTTGGTTACACCAAATCTGACAGGAGGATTGGGCCAAAAGATTATTTCTAAGCTTAAGAGAAAAAACACAAAACTTTCTTAAAATTTTCCAATGGTTTTTAAAGGCAATTCTAACAAATATTAAAGAGAAGTATATAAATATCTGAATATGTAGAGGTAACAAATAAAAATAAGTCATTATTTTGGGACGAGAAAGAAAAACACTGTGTCACAATGAATGTCATGGAGAGAGAAAAAATAACATTCTGTATTTTTACATAATATTTTCTTCCTCTTTTCTACTGTGTAACAGCTGATGACAGACAAAGAACCCTGCGAGTGAGATTATTGCTTTTGTTGTTTTCCAAAATGTCCTCTGCGAGGGGGCGGAGTCGAGGGTTCTACGTAGTAGACGTGTTTTGTGAGGGCTCCACAAACTTCGACTTTAAACTTTGCTTTTTGACACTTTATTTTAATTTATAC